CCATTGCTGCTCTAGGGCTGAAACTGCAGAAGGCATAGAAGCCTCCCCCCACCCCTGCCCATCCCCATGTATCTTGGGTGGTCTGGCATAAACAACAGATTCCCTCCCTTTCTCCCACCCTACTCCTAGTCATTAAACTAGGACACTCCATAATTACTGATGGGCCCCAAATGAGCCCTGGTTTATAGTGTGTGATTTGGAGGAGAGAGTAAGGCCTAAGGAGGACCTATATTCCAAATCCTTAAAAACTGTCCCCAAACTGCTAATRATTGCCAAATTCCATGGTCATCTTGTTCCCAGCAAAACAATCTGATCCTTGTTATACACACACCCACACTTGGGTGGTATGTGCTTAAGGTTGTCCAGTGAATTAAGGGCCTGCAAGCCTTACAGAGCTAAGGAAGTGAGGGGAGTCTGAATGTGAAAGGCTGAGAAGGTGGATGGGAGAGAGGCTATTGGGAAAGATGAAGGCTCTGGACATCAAGGAATAATATTATGCCCTTCATACAGCTGCCTAGAGCTGTCCCTATTGAGCTGGTGCTATAAATATTCTGAAAATTCAGGTAAGCAGCATCACTAGTGACTAACACACCAAAAGCCTATGACCTGGACTTTCAAAGCTCCTCTCAGGTGGGAGGTTGCCTTTCCAGCCCAGGTAACAACCATGAAGTGTGGTTAGAGGCTGCCTCAGAAGTCTTCTTACTCCAAACACTCTTGCTACCCACTATCACAGTGGAACCTAAAAGTCTCCCATTAGATCCCACACCAGTAACATGAATTTGTTTTTTACAGCAGTCCGTCCTTATCCAAGGTTTCTCTTTCTGGGGTTTCAGTTACCTACAATCAACCATGATCTGAATGCATTAAGTAGAAATTTTCAGAAATAAAAAATGCAGAAGTTTTAAATTGCACATGGTTCTGAATAACATGATGAAATCTCACACTATCCCCTTGTCCCTCCTAGGATGTGAATCATGCCTTTGACCAGTGTATTCATGCTGTATAGGCTACCTACACGTTAGTCACTTAGTAGCAGACTCAGTTATCAGAAAGTTGCAGTATCACAGTACCTATGTACTAGTAACCCTTCTTTTACTTAAAGGCCCCAAGGCAAAAGAGTAGAGATGCTGGCAATTTGAATATGCCAAACAGAAGCATAAAGTGCTTCTTTTAAGTGAAAAGTTGAAAGCTCTTTATAAGGAGAAACTGCCTGGCCATTTTGTTGTTGTTGTTGTTATTGTTTTTGCTTAGGACATCTACCTGTGCATCTCCTGTCAGGTGCCCTGGGCATCTTCCAACCCCTGCTCTACAAAATGCCTAAGAGGGTTTCATTCAGATTTAGTGTTTTGAGAGTTACCATTCCTACTACTCTTTCCATTCACTTCCACATTAGGTCTGTCTGTCTGTCTATTCTTTTATTTTTCCTTTTCTTTTTTTTTTTGTAAGGGGGATTGAGCCTAGAGATGCTTTACTACTGAGCTACATCCCTAGTCCTTTTTATTTTCTTATTTTGAGACAGAAATTCTTTAAGTTACTAAGGATCTTGCTAAATTGCTGAGGCTGGCCTCAAATTTGTGATCATCCAACCTCAGCCTGCCAAGTTCCTGGGATTATAGGTGTGCACCCCCATGCCCAGTCAATATTCAATATTCCTTAAACAGATAGAAATGGTTTAAATCAGGGAGAATTAGATTTACTAGAATTTTAATGTCAGACTTAAGCATCCATACCCGCCATTAGGCATTCCCCTGAGTTAGAATCCTAACTCTAGTACTTATCAGCTGGCTGACTTTTTCATGTTATTTTTCTTCTCTAAACCTTGCTATCCTCATTTTTAAACTAGGGAAAATAACAGTACTCACCTGACAGGCAGTCATGAAGACTAGTCAGAGGGATAATGCATAGGAGCACTTCCCACAAAGCCTGGCTCAGAGTAAATGTTCAGTAAATGTCAGTCGTGGATTTATTTCTCACCTACTTGTATTTCCAGTAAAAGTTGGCAAAGTGATGCATGTGAGTTTCAAGATCATTATAAATCTAATCCAGACTTGGGCTGTGCTCACAAATTTGTTCTTTGAAAAATGCACAAAATTCGTCTGTAAGTCGTGACCCCCCTTCTGTTTTTCTAAGATAAGCTACATATAGCTCTTAACGTTTATATCTCAGCTTGAAATTCTAAAGCCAATCTCTCAGAAATATAAGTGGTTCAGCCAATGGCATTTGGAAAAAAACAAGCACTTTTTTTTGTTTGTTTGTTTTTGTTATGTAATGGACCCAAGATGACCTAGCTAATGTGTGGCAGAGCCAGGATGTGCTCGCAGACAGTCTGGCTGCAGAGCCGAGCTCTCTTTCATTAAACTATACTATCCTGGGCTGTGTATGTAGCTCAGAGATAGAGCACTTGCTGAGCATGTGAAAGGCCCTGGGTTCAATTCCCCCCACCACAAATAAACAAATATAATAAAAGTAAAGTTAAAAACTATACCATCTCATAGATAAATGAAGTTCATCAGGGGTACAGCATGGCTAAAAGTCATTACTCCACTTACTCACAGGAGCACTCTTCCTTCCATAGAACATTCTGTGCTGACCCTTTAACCCTGCTCCTCCCAGGCTATTTTCAGGGGCATCATTTGTCAAAATACAAAAGAACCATCATCACAACATATCATTGCTGCTGTCAAACAGGGCTGCAAAAAAAAATATTCAAGGCATTGTGGCTCGAATCGGGGATGGGTTCCAAACTCACCATCACCATTAACTGGCAGGATGCCCATGGGCCAGTCACTTAAGTTCCCCTCCTCTAGATTCCTTATCAGTGGAGTGGGGATCATGCCTCCTTGAGCTTTTGTGAAGATTATGTGAGCTGCTCTTTTAATAATGTGCTCAACATAATGTCTGGCTYAATGAATAAGCAGTTATCATTAAGGAAGATCAATAATAAGCTATTATGATTATTGATTACATAGTCCATAACTGGGAGCAGAATTGAGATGGCCACCTTCAGAGAAGACTGAGAGAGGAGCCAGGTTATAAAATAAGCTCTCCAGGGTGCTGCTCCTTGTATGTCCCTATAAAGAGGAGAGGGTGCCTGAGACGGAGGAGTTCACTCCCTGAGCCTGGCTGGCACGAAGCCTCCAGCGGGCGCCCCACAGCAGGACATGATCATTACAGGAGGCAGATGGGAGGACCAAGTGAGCTTAGACAGGGAAGCTAGAAATCCCGCTGCCATAAGCAGTCATTTTCAGTCTAGGCAAAGCACTACTTGTCAGCAGTTCTGCACATTATTTCAGAAAAGTTTGTTTCAACTGGAAAAGTTGGTCTTTACCTGACCTACAAGTCAGGYATGGATGGAGCTACTCCATTGGAAGTAGAAAAGGAGATACCCGGAGCACCTACATGATGCTGGTCTCCATGTTGAAGTCCTCAGCAAAGGGGCCCAGCATCCTGGCCCAGCATACATTTCCCAACTGCTATGTTCTAACATAGCAGTTGGGAAATGTATGTAAGAGGTGAAGCCTGCCCTTCTTGAGCTTAGTATAAGCTCTCGTATAAGACAGGCTGGCAGCTGAACACCAGGCACAAATCCTAACAGGCACTATGGGCACTTCCTACCAAACTCTGAGGCTTCTCAGTTTGGAAGGGATCCCTCAACAGTTATACTGCCCAGTGAAGAGCACATTTGCACTGTTCACTTTCTTCAATAAAACAGTCTTGAATTTTACCTCTCACAACACCTGGGTGAAGTGGCATTATTATTAGCCCGTTTCCTAAATGAGGAAATTGACGCAGAAGGCAATTAACTATCCAAAGTCATCCAGTTAGATAATGCTGAAACTCAGATTCAAACCTGGTCTTCCTGATTTCTGAGCAGAGCAGCCTAGATTTGAGACCCACGCTGCTTGGTCCCTCCTCTGTCTCTTACTAGTTGTGTTTCCAGCCTCAATTTCCTCATCTGTAAAATGGGAATGATGATGACAATACTTACCACCCTTAGAATAGTGCTTGGTGCAGGGCAAGTGCTCAGTTATCATTAAGGAAGATCAATAATAGTTGCTACCTCAAGATACCAACCAGTAGGCAGTGACAATTTTGTTCAATTCCCGCCCTCATTTAGTCAAGAGAACAGTGCATGACAATACGTGACTGAGGAACAAATTGTGTAGTACAGAGAGTAAAAGCCATAGATGTTCAGAGAAAAGGCATTTAAAATGTCTCATTTATGACTGCTTCATAAGTTTTTGAGTACTCCTTGTGCAGAAGCCATGCTGAGTTCTCTGATCCCATCCAATGTCAGCACATGTACTGCCAAAGCCAGCTTTTCAGCCACTGGCTGCTGGGAACATGTCCCTAACGAAGACAAAGGCCACGTGTGGGCTTCTGAGTAGACCAGTTAGCTCTCACACATACACACACACACACACACACACACACACACACACACACCTATTTCAGACAGCACCTGAGTTCTGTCTAGGACTATAGCCCTGGTGCTCAAGGGCTCTGACCTTCTGACTCAGGCTTCTGCCACATCCCACACCTGGAGAAACAACTCCAGGCATGTGTCCCATGATGGTGGGTGGGAGGCAGGAGACAGCATCATGGGCCAGAAGACAGCCTCCAGGTCCTAGGAAACAACCAGGCCTTCACCTCAGTCATTGCTCTCTGAATCTTTTCAGAGCTGAAGGTATTTATGAATGCTCCTCGACATTCCAGGGGGCTCMGAAAAGAAAGGAAAGAAACGGAGACATCAGGGAATTCATATCAATTTCCCAGAATTCTGCCATTAATACTTCCCACACCCAACAAAATGTGTGCTTTCCGGGACGCAGTGATTAAAGTTCAATTTGGAAAGAGAAAGGAAGAAGGGATGACGGATCTCACCCCAGATTCCCCTCATCCACCCACTACCATGCACACCCCCTGCAGAAGAAAACACCCCAGCCCCAAGCTCAATAGATGGGAAATGATGGCAAGAATGTGCGGTGCCCGGGTCCTACCTCTTCAGCCGGGGTCCCCTTGCGCCACCTGCTAGGGCTGATCCATCCCCTCTCCTTGGGAAGCCGAGCCGCGGATCAGGGAGGAGTTCCGCGGAAGGAAGGGGAGGGCAGGGCAGGGCAGGTCTCCCAGCCCGAGCACTTGGGTACAGGGACAAGGATGTTTTGTAACTCCTGCCTGGAACTTCCAGAGGCAGAACAGGAAATGTCCACTGGGGCCGGGATCTCAAGTGAGAAATGGGTCGGGTCTCCTTCGCTGGGGAGCTTCCTGAGCGCGCTCCACGGGGATCGGTCTGGAATTTAAAGCTCCCTCTGACTTCCGGTGCCTTTCCCCCCTTGCACTTTCCTCCAGAACATTTTTTTCTTCTTCTTCTCTGAATGGAACCTCAGCTTCGTTCCTGGCCTGCTGGAAACATTTGGATCAGGAAYACTCTCCCCTTGAGAGAGAATTTCTCGTGTTACAAAGTTCAATTAAAAAAAAAAAGTGAGCTATTTGTTTTGCCAACTTTTGCACTGGGAACATTTTTGATGGATTTTTTTTTCCTGCCCTGATCCTCTGGATTTCAAGAAACACACACACACCCACCTCCATCTTACTGACTTTTTACTTTTTTTCTTAACTGCCTCCCTCCCCGTGGAAAAACAACAGTAGCTGATACATGGTTCCAGTAAAGATGTCCTTCATCTGTGGGCTCCTAGGCTACTGCCCAAGTCAGCCTTCTTCATGCTGATGTGTCACTGGCCGTGCAGTGTATGTGGTGTGTGGTGAAGGAGAGAGAGGGTAATCATGGTCTTCAAGGACCTCTCTTGGTTCTAGGTCTTTTGATGATGGTCACACAGGAATTGACTACCTTTCCCAAATGATGTCCCAGTCCATTACAAACTACCTCCTCTGCTCCCCAGGGATGATGGATGTGTATGGGACTGAGAAGTCCCATCAGAATATTGAGTTGTTGATAATCGCCCAGAGGGTGGCATGTCTGTGAATTATTAAATGCCACCACAAATTGGGAACCTTTAGAGTACTTGTTGACCCCTGCAATAAAACTCAGTACTTCTCACCGTGCTAATTGGGGATTTGTTCACAGACAGAAAATGAGAAGGTCTCCTCTACTCTCTGTATTAAAAGAAGATAGAGGGGCTGGGGTTGTGTCTCGGTGGTAGTGTGCTCGCCTAGCACGTGTGAGGCACTGGGTTTGATCCTCATCACTACATAAAATAAATAAAATAAAGATATTGTATCCATCTACAACTAAAAAAAAATTAAAAAGAAGGTACAGAATAAACAAACTATTAGTGCAAGCAAGATGTAAGGGGGAAAAGTGTGTGTGTGTGTGTGTGTGTGTGTGTGTGTGGTTTTTTATCAATTAACCAGGTTATAACTCTTTTTTTTAATTAGTTGTTGATAGACCTTTATTTTATTTATTTGTATGTTGTGCTAAGAATCAAACCCAGTGCTTCATGCATGATAGGCAAGCACACTACCACTGAGCCACAACCCCCAAAATTCTTTAAACAACTTTTTAACTGTAATGCCTGTAATCCCAACTATTAGGTAGGATAATCACAAGTTCAAAGCCAGCCTGGGCAATTTAGTGAGACCCTGTCTCAAAATAAAAAAATTAAAAGGGCTTAGTGGTAGAGTCAGGGGCAGAGCAATCCTAGGAACCATAAAAAAAAATTGTTTGACTGACATATAAAACCATAAAAATAGTACACATTAAAGAGGTGTCATGATATTTCAAAGCGTGCATACATTGTGTGATGTTTAAATCAGGTAAAGCATATCTACCTCCTCAAATGTTTGTCATTTCTGTATGTTGAAAACATTCAAAAACTTTTTTTTTCTAGCTTTTTGAAGTGTCAGTATTATTGTTATCTGTAGTCACTCTACCATGCAACAGTACACCAGCTTGCTCCTATCTCTCAGTACCCATTGATTGACCTTGTCCCACCTCTCCCTCTCCACTACTCTCTCCAACCTCTGGTAATACTCTCAACTTCTGTGAGAACAACTTTTTCAGATTTCACAAATTAATGAGATCAGTGTATTTGTCTCTCTGTGAGGTTAGAAAGTTTCAAATGCTTTAGAAGTGCCCTTCATTTACAGAAATTATACCACATTCATGATAGACTATGGCTAGCCATTTCTAGATTGTTGAGTTGATGTTCTGATTACATACTATCTGTATCTAGTCAGTAAGCAAAACTGACAGAGGTGATGTATTTCTGTTCTAGCTTGAGTTTTATGCCTGAACTTGAAAGTAACTGAAATGCGTTCATACTCTGGAAGTCACAGGTTCAGTCATTTCAAACTTGTGTTAATGTGGAGAGAATACTAATCAACAATCTTTAATCCATCTTTAAAAGTACTTAATTAGTTGTCTATTTTATATTCTAACATATTTAAACACAATAGTGAAATATAGAAAYATCTCATTTGTTCTTCATCCTCAAATGAGCTCAAGAGCCACACTTTGAAAGGAGGTGGACAGAAGGAGTCTATTTGATATCTGAACAGTTGACGAACCAGTTTTGATGCCGAAACTGAGGGTTAGAATCGTTGGGAGGGGGCTGGGGTTGTGGCTCAGCGATAGAGCAGTCGCCTAGCACATGCAAGGTGCTGGGTTTGATCCTTAGCACCACATAAAAATAAATAAATAAACAAAGAAAATAAAGGTATTGTGTCCAACTACAATTAAATATATATCATTGGTAGAGCATTTGATCAGTATTCATGATTTGTTCTGGGGCAATCCCCAGTACCTAAATAAATAAATAAATTCTGCTCCCATTTAAGGGCAAAAGTCTAATTCCATAGGCTTGAAGAACATACAGTTCAGTTGGTACAGCTCTCCAGAGATATCAATATGATGGGAGATATCGATATGATGGTGTTGCCAAACAGAATTAGTGGGATTGGCACTTCCAATTCCCACCCCAAGATTGAGATTCACCTGACTGGCCACCTCTTTTCAGTTATTAAACTTGTTGCTTTGATATCATGAATACAGACACAGGGATAATGATCTCACATTGAACAGTAAAAGACAGAAATGAAGATAAGATGAAAACCCAGGCTTTTCAAGGTCAAAGTTCAACAATATTTCATATGATAATATATCTTGTATTAGTTTGTGGAGGAGGGACCACACTGAATTTAACTATTGTTGAATGCCTACTGTGTGTGCCAGATCTGTTGGAGGCTTTCTCAGAAAACAATTTTTAACACCACAACTCCATAAGGCGTTACTGCTCTCATTTTATAAAAGAGAAGTTGGGATTCTGAGGAAGTATATTTTGCAGTTACTTGTCAGTATTAAGATTATTTGTGACCTGAGTCATAATATTTTTTATTTCATGTTATTCCTGATGTCTGTTTAGTCCTTCAACTCCCTATGATGTTTCATGCCAGAATTGCAAATATCATCCATTCATTCAATCTAGTTAATAAATATTTAATGAACATCAGTGTGCATACCAGTGAGCCAGGAGATGAAGGGCTGCCCAAGGGATGTTTGTAATCTGATCTTGCATGGAGAGAAATAAACATACCTGTGTCATTTAACTCAATAGTTCCACTCCTTGGTGTATATCCAAGAGAAACAAAAGCCTATATGTGAATGTTCATACCAGCATTATGTATAATAGCTGCTGGTAGAAACAACCCAAATGTTTATCAACTGAAGGTTAAATAAACAAAATGTGATATATCTATATAAAAGAATATTATAAAAAGAAACAAAGCACTTATATATACTGCATCATAGATGAATTTTGAACTCATTATGCAAAGTGGAAAATGCAGTCATAAAAGGCCACATATTATGGTTCCATTTATATATAATGTCCAGAATGGGCAAATCTATGGGCACAAAAAGTAGATTAGTGGTTGCCAGGGGCTGGGACTGTGATGGAGTTGGGGTTTGGGGATTGATAGCTAAAGGATATAGGGTTTCCTTCAGGATRATAAAAATGTTCTGAAATTGTGGAAGAACTTGCATAACTTTGTGAATATACAAAAAAACATTGAACTATTTTGTGAACTTATGGTATGTGAATGATTTGTATGAATTACCTCTCACTAAAGCTGTTACAAAAACAGTACCCGAAAAAAAAAACTCTATCTTATTTATTTTATAACCTGCCCCAACTTCCAAAGGACCATATTTCATGTACAATTTCCTGTTTCCTTGGTTAAATCGTTTTGAGGGTTTATTTTGAAAAAGTAAAAACAATGTCCAAGGAAAGGAAAGACTATGTGGGAGGCTCACGGGGAGAACCATCTCTTATAAGAACAAATTATTCCATACATTATGGTTATCACATTCTTTGAAGATATCCCTTTTTGGGAGAATGATTATTCCCAACCTCTTTCCATTCTTCTCTCTATAAAAACACATTTGGAAAAAATAATTTATAAGTATCACATACTGAGTTTCAGAAACTGAACAATTACTATATGTGTATTTAATTAGTGAATGATTTTTTGTGGTACTGGTAATTGAACCCAGGGCCTTGCACATGCTAGGCAAATGCACTGATACTGAGTTATATCCCTAATCCTAATTAATGAATAAATGTTTGATTGCCTTAAACTAATGAAATGAATTCACACTAATTTTTTCATTTCTCAGAAATAAGCATACTCTTACTCAGGGATCTCACATCATGCAGGAGCTAAGTCTGGTAGGGAAAGAAAGGAAACAGTCCAGTAGGCAGTTTTATATTAGGACATGCAAGTTCAGTAAGGACCCAAGAACGGTAAGGAATGGCAAACCAGCTGCGTGGTGTGGCAAACCAGCTGCAGAGCAGATGTGATAAGGAGACTTTTGAACTCAATGGGGAAATGCTGAAGGATTTGAAGCAAGAAGGGGTATGTTTTAGAAGGGGTGTTCTGGCATTAGTGGGAATGATGGATCTAATACTTTCTCTATAGAATTTCTAATAAGAGATTTCATTATTAGTATGGTTATTTTTATTATTGTTGTTAATATTTGAAGCATAGATTATGTGTGGAAATAAGTTAGCAGCTGTTTCCTAACCCCAGAAAT